ATTATTCGGTTCATGTTTGTTGCTCTGGTTTGTTTCCTCGTGCTTTTATTTTGATGTTTTAACCTGAGGCTGTTGTTGTTCGGCTCCTGGTGACGATCAGTGTCACATCAAACCCCCGAGGAAGACGAGGAGGGAGGAAGAGGGGATTAAATACTAACTGGCTGCTCTTACATACGTCGTTGCCCTTTTAAGGAGGTTCCACTGGTTCTTACTGAAGTTCTCGAGTTTCAGGGTTCTCTCAGGGTTCCTGTGGAGGTCGTTTAGGTTGTTTAGGTTCATAAAAAGGTTCTGACGGGGTTAAGGCTTTTTATCTGGGAGTCCAGAGGTTTAATGAGGGTTCCACTGGTTCTTAAGGAGGATCCACCAGTTTTACTTCAGGTTTCTAAATAGTTCTTAAAGGGTTTTAAGGAGAACTAAAGGGGTATTCAATGGTTCTCATGGTGTTCCACATGACTTCGCAGGGTCTTCAGGTCGGTTCTTCTAAGTTCTTTATTAAGGGGGTTCTTGAGGTTTTGCGTTCCTGACTCTGTGGCTCTCGGCATCTTTAAGGGTCTTTACTGACTCTTAGCGCAGCTCTTAAGACTCTTGGTGGCTTCTTGTCGGGTTAGCGAGGTATTAAGGGTCATGTGGAACTCTGGGGCTCGACATTTCATACGGAACCAAAGCTTTTCTCCTATTTTAACGTTTCCTTGTAACATCATCAAAAGGTTCTGTGAACGGAACCCGTGACCTTTGACCCCTCGAGGAGGAACCGTTCCCTGGCTGTGAGGAGGGTGTTAATCCTGAATGTTTGAACACACGGGCGCTGGGCGGATTCTCACTGTTGGTGGGATTATTACGGACTTTAAGGCTCAGAGGGATCAGCAGCAGAGGAGGAGGACAGAGGGCGCCTCCTAGTGGCAGGAGCTGGACCTGCAGCAACACACAAACTAGCCTCGCTGCAGGAGGATCGATTTCATCTTTAATCGACTGGATGTCCTGGTCTTAATCTGATTAAGATTATTTATGTACGTTGAAGATGAATGAATCAGCGTTGTTATTAAACGTAGAGATGACGTCAGATGTTTTGAGACAAAGAAAATTAAAACAGAGTCAAAT